ACCTTGAAGTTCACTGATTTGGACGCTGACATCAAAAAAAACTATTATCTTTTAAGAGAACAAATTTTACACTTCCAGTGACTCCAAAGTACCACTTAAACCAAAATTCATGTTCAAAAGCACAATACTTTTACACATCAAAGCTACAGGAATTATCTTTTAGACGACTATAGATGACTTAAGTTGTTGACAGTCATCATATATTGTTTTAGAAATTATAGCTTCTTCATTGAAGAAAGGCTATATTTTATTCAAAAAGTTTAGACAGAATCAAGGATTATCTTGTTTCAGGAGTTTTTGCCTTAGTAGGAAATAATACTTTGAAAAAACCTAATGCAAACTTAAAAGACAAGAAATTTAAAGGAGCTACAAGAGCTAATTACACCTCCAAAAAGAGTGAAAGAAACAAAAATAAAGAACAACAAACAGAGCCGCTAGATGAGACTGATAAATTATTTGATTGTGAGAGTAACAACTAATATGATTAAATGTTTTAAATAAATATGTTATCAACCAATATCATAAAAAGCATCTGTCAGATGAGAAAAATGTTCTCATCTGACAGATGCTTTTTATGATATTGGTTGATCATCTGACAGATGCTTTTTATGATAATTCTTAATACCACCTGCTGTGGAAGCAGGTGGTATTAAGAATCAGGATAAAAACAATCCAGTTAATATTAATACTGTTAGCTTATAAAACATATTTAATCACATAGTTGGTTTATGTTGAGGCAATAATGGTTTGAGAACTGGTACTGTTTTCACTAATGAATAAGGAAATTATTTAAGTAATGCAGAAACATTTATTAAATTTATTCCACATCTTTCAAAGTTTAAACGGAGCTAATAACATCTTGATGTACAAGAAGCTTGATGTACAAGAATCTTGATGTACAAGAAGCATAATTACAACATACTAAACAACACTGATTTAGATACTGGCGATGTTAAACAGTTGGAAAATAAAGTGGAGCACCGTCATGATAATGATTCAATCAGGAATGCTTTTAAGTTTCAATAAATAAATCTCATGCTTTGTTTTTAAAGTTAACACTGAAACCTGTTTGAAAATTTTTCGTTTTCTCCTCAAAAGTTTTGTTTGAATGTAGAGTAAATGATTCCTTCATTCTGCTTTTATAAAGATCTTACTCCACAGTCATTTATTAGGCCTAATCTAAATTCAACCCCCTTCCTCTGCTTATCATTTTATTTCCTTGTATTAAAAATTGTCAAGCAGCTGTTTAGTTTGAGCCTCTGTCTCATTGTTGTAAGAAAGCTTTCACTTTCAATTTTCTATAAGTACTAACATGGTTGATGCGAAAATCATCTTTAGTTCCAAAATTGAAGTGAAAATCATCTTTAGTTTTTTTTTAATAATTTTTTATTGGTTATCCTGTTTTTTCTGGTCGAAGATCTTCTGATGAAGATAGAGATCTGATTTTTTTATGTATGCTTAAATAAGTTATAGAAACATAATAATCAATTTTTTATTTTTATAACTTTGTATATTATACTCGGTGATTTGTATTTGAATCCAGACCTGATACTACTTAGTTGATTGATAATGCATTTTGATAAACCCCTAAGAATAAAGAAGAGGGGCCAATGCAGTCAAACTTTTTTAAGTTAACAAAACTTACAAACAATATCAAAAAATAATTAGCTAGCTATCATTAACAGCCTCATGGTCACAAAACAGTTGCTTTACAGCATCAAAATCAGGAAACAAATTGCTCAGCTAGCAGTACCAACTTGCTGCTCAGCTAGCAGTACCAACATGCGGCAAGCAGCTTTGGTCTTTGAGGATGACACAACCCAGTTGTTTTTAAATTTGCTTGTGCAGCTTATGCTCAGACTAAAGTATTTCCTGTACCAACTTTACAGTTATTGACAAAAATCATTAATGACAGTCAAGTTGTTGAGGTACAACTGGAACTCTGAATAATTAGAACTGATATTCTTGGAACCTGGATAAACTACCCATTTTTAGTAAGTGACTAGGACTGATATTTGACCAGGTCATAATCTGATAAACCATAGCCAGAGCCGGGTCCAGAGTCATGGCAGGGGCTGCCTAAATCTTGACAAACCCTACAAATTAGTAAAATATTTCATCTTAGATTTCATTCTTAGAATTCATGTTATGTTTATAAATACATATAAATGAATATATATATATATATATATATATATATATATATATATATATATATATATATATATATATATATATATATATATATATATATACATATATATATATATATATATATATATATATATATATATATATATATATATACATATATATATATATATATATATATATATATATATATATATATATACATATATATATATATATATATATATATATATATATATATATATATATATATATATATATATATATATATATATATATATATATATATATATATATATATATATATATATATATATATATATATATATATATATATATATATATATATATATATGGGCAATTCCATTTTCAACTTACCTTACATGCACAACAACTTTATCAAATATTTGCCTATTTAAACTGTAAATAATTTTAGCTATTTTGTAGGAAAGCTGTTAGTCTAAAAAACTGGTATTTTTCATAATATTAGTTATCAACCTAAAACAGTTTTTCTGCAAGACTAAGGAGCAATTTTTAAAAATTGCTTCAGTATGACAACTTTATTAATACTTGTTAAGTCATTTAAATAAGAAAATTGTTAGTTTGTTGAAATTAGGTAAAGTCTAACGGACTTTAACTCATTACTTTCTTATTCTCATTTTTAATTCTTTTAACAATTTAAACAATTTAAATTAGATATTTTATCTAATTAAAAAAACTTTTATTAATATTTTAATAGCTATATAAGGAGAATTAGTTGTTTCACAAAAAAAAAAGCTCAATATTTTATGCTAAAAAAAAAGGGAGAATAGCTGTGTCACAGACAGAAATGTTCAATTTTTTATGCTAAAATTCACATTTTTGACCAATGTTCTTTTATTACTAAACAAATCTTATCTATCTCTTAATTTATGAAGTAATCTTCAAGATTTTGTCATTATTCGCAAAAAAAAACAAAAAACAAAAAAAAAACAGAAACATTTGTAACAAGAAAATACAAGATTGCATCATTATTAGAAATAATCAATAAGGGTGAAGGTAGCCCTTCCCCACTTTTATTTTAGGGTTTAATCAAAATACACTGTTGATTATTATGTTTCTATAACTTGTTTAAGCGTACATAAAAAACAGAGTTCTGTCTTCATCAGAAGATTTTCCACCAGAAAAACCTGGATTGCATTGGTTGATGAATTGCAACTGTCCACAATGTTTACAGGGCTGGAACAAAGTCTGAAAATAAACCAATAATTATATTTTTTTATATAAGCCCTTTAAATAACATAAATATTTATTTGTTAAAATAGCATTCAGTTTTACTTTTTTTTCCCTAATATATTGTGCAATTTATAAAAACATTTTTTTTTTTCAAAGACCTGATGAGACCAGCGCAAGGTAATAAAAATTAAAAAATAAAACTTTTGGATTTCTTTATTATAGTCTGAAAAAATTGCTATATATAAAATTTTTTATAGTAAAAATTTTGTAGATTGGACCTCTCTATATTAAAGAAATATTTTTATAATAAAATGCAAAAGCATCTAATTGTAAGGTTATAATAGATATAATAATGAATTGTAAGCTTATAATAGATGCAGCTATTAACAAAAGAACTAATTTTAACATATGGCAGTAAACTGTAAATCATAAACTTTTATTTGACTTTAATAAATCATCAAATTCGTAAACTTAAATAAAAAGAAAAAGAAGTACAGATAACAGAAAAAAGTACAGATAACAAAAAAAAGTACAGACAACAGAAAAAAGTTGAGATAACAGAAAAAAGTATAAATAACAAAAATAAGTACAAATAATAGAATGAAGTAAAGATAACAAAAAAAAGTTTAGATAACAGAAAAAAGTAGAGATAACAGAAAAAAAGTAGAGATAACAGAAAGAAGTACAAATAACAGAAAGAAATACAGATAACAGAAAAAAATACAGATAACAGAAAGAAGTACAGATAAGAGAAAGAAATTCAGAATGGAGTTAAATAATTCACAACAAGCACAACTTAAAAAAATGTTTTTAAAAATCTTGAAAAATCAAACTACAATTTTCTATTGTATCTTACGAGAGTTGATGTTGAACTTTTTATTTTATAGTTAAATTCACAAAATCTCTCTAGATTATGATTAATATTTTTTACTACATTTTTTTAAGTTGCAAATTTAAAAAAATGTAGTAAAAAATACTTCACAAAAAAAATGTAGTAAAAAAATACTTCACAAACTTCAACCTAAGTAAATTAGGTTGAAGTTTGTGTTTATATGTTTTTAACTTTAAAATTTTTCCTTACTATACAAGATGCATTTTGATAACAGTTTTTAACAGAAGTGTATATATATATTTATGATATATTTCCTGTGTAACATATCCTAATAATAATAACAATAATAAAAATAAATTAAAACATTCCTTGAACAGTTATTAAAAAAAGGCTATGTTTGTTAAAAGTATCAGTTAGTGTGCCTTCAAAATTCTGAATTTCATAAAAAATTGCCAAAATACCAGATCCTTGGATCCAAGCCATGTACATGTTATTAACTTGATAACAATTATTAGTAAATTAGAAATAATTTTTTTTTTTTAATTTAATTTTGAATTAAAACTATAAAATAAAAACCACAATATAAAATAAAAATTAAAACTGAAAAAAAGAACATCTTATATATTGAATATTATAATATTGAGACAAGTAGCTTTAAAAAAGCTTAGAAATTGTATCCACCAGAACGGAGAGTCTCAATATGCTTGGTGCGGTGTCTGATATAATTCAATAAAATTTTATTTAATAATAAAAAAACTGCTCAATATCAAATTAAGAAAATAAAAATCGTATAAAAACATACTTGAACTCATCGTTAACTTATGTCTGAGAACTCTAATATTTTTTTCTTTCTCTTCTTCTTCTAAACTTTTTTACAACTCTTCTATTTTTCTTCCCGTTGCTTGATAAAGAATCTCTGAATGTTCTCTACTATTTTTAGGTAAGTACTCTGTATTTATTCTGTTAACATCAACATAGCTCTCAGCCTTATTATTTAATTCAGATATAAAAGATTTTTGCTGCAGAAGTGAGTTAACATTTTTCCCTAATTTTAAACGGTCTTTACTCGATCCAAAACGGAATGTATTTTCTTTAATGTTAGTTTCTTTTGGAAAATCTGTATTCAACATTAATGAAGAATTATTCTTTTTATTTTCATCTGAAGTTTGATTAGTAAGCAAGGCATCCTCAAAAAAAACATGCGATGTAAATGAGTTGTCCTCACAGAAATAATCATCATCTAATTCATTAGGAAGAAATGCTTTTAACTAAAAGTGAAAATTTAAACATAAAATCTATAAATAAAAATAACAAAATAAAAAAGAAAACTATAAACAAACTTCTTGTTGGTGTGCACCTTCTAGATCTAATTGCTCCTCATCATCTTCCTATAAAAATATTAACCAAGCAATATTTTACTTAACAAGTAACATTATATAAACCAACAAGTTAAAATAATGAATAAACAATTTTTAAATAATATAGTGATTTTAGCTTGCCTGAGTGTTAAAATCTATGTGGCTATACATGGCACTTATTTCAATTTTTCCACTCTTCAACTTTTATATATAGATTAAGATAGATAATCATTTAGCCTAGAAGATACCAAGAGCATTTATAATCATTTAGAAGATACCAAGAGCATTTATTGATCATTTTTTTGGTTAAAAAATACACCAAAAAAAGTTATAAATATAAATCAAATATTATTATCAAATTAAATAGACTATTTGTAATAACACAAAACAACAAATAAATTTCATGAAAATACATGTTTACTTTAGTTTTAAATATTAATGTTAATTTTGTTTTTCTGATTAATACTTATTTTTATAAATTCTATAATAATTATAACTATTTTAATCAAAGTTGTTATTACTATAAATATTTTCCAAAAAACTAATATAATATACTAAAAATATTACGCAACTCATTACATGCACAAAATAATGTTCTATATAAAAATTATTTAAACAGTAAAACTCATAACTTGTTAGTTTTTTCTTTTAATATAATATATAAAACAAGCTAACACAGTTTTTCAAAAAATAAATCACTGCTTTGAAAAAAATTTGAAACATTAACTGAAAAATCTCCAATACATTTATAAAATCAAGAAAAGCTATTTTTTTTTAAATCTATATATGCACTATCTCTGCAACCATTACATAATTTATGAACATAATTTAGTATTTTTAACCAAGCAGGTTTAAAATATTAGGATATAAAATTACTATGAATTCAACCATAAGATACATTATACAAGCAATAAAATCTCAATTGTGTAGTGCTCGGTACTTGTGTAGTGTTCGGTACTTGTGTAGTACTTGGTACTTGTGTAGTGCTCCAACTATGATTAAATATGAACTAAATTATAAAAATATTTGGAATAATTATGTTAAGAAAATAATTTCTTTTGTTTTAGGTAATATTAACTTTTACCAGAGTAATTGTCATGTTTGATTAAAATTTTCAAATTTTTTTAAATCTTTATTTTCTTCATTTATTATTCATATCATAATTAACAAATGCAGTTTACACAAGTATTACTCAAATTTCATAGAATTGAAGCTTTTTTTTTTCAGAACTTTATTTTATTATCATTCTTCATTATATTTCATAATTAAAACGTTATTTTATTACCAATTTCTCTTTATTTAATTTTAGTTTTCAATCTAACACAAGTTTAAGATAAATAAAGATTATATTTTATCACTTTTGCTTTTGTTTTGAAAAACATTAAATTTTTGTATAAGCAATGGAAAACTTTTGCTTGAATTAATTATTTACAATACACAGTGAACTGCCTTGGTCTTTTTTTCCAGGTTTAATGAAGTGGCACTCAGACAAAACATTTTACACATAAAAGTATTTGTATTTTTAAAATCTATAAATACCATTATTATATAAAAATATTATAAACATATGTACCAAACACTTCTGCAAACACTTCCGCAAACACTTCCGCAAATTAAATTAAATAAATATAGAATCATTCCTAATAAAACAATATAGAATAAATATACTAATTTCTTATTGTATTATTTTCCATGGTGTCCTCAGAGAACTCATAACTAATAGATGAAGTTGCAAACACACTGTAAATTGCAGAATTACATCAGCCAACAAAAGCAAAGAATTACAACCACATAATTTATGTATATATATACAAAGTATCTCTAGCTAACTTTTAGTTTCTTAGGTAAGTAGTATATGTTATTACAGTTAATATTAACATAGCTCTTAATATTAATATTTAACTATTATATAAAAGATTTACATGCTGAAATGGATTGTAAATAGTAAAATTATTAAATATTTTAAATATTTTTTTATATGTCAATTTTAAAAAGCTAATTGAGGTGAGGTGGCCATGGCGCAGTGGTTAGAGTGCTTGCTTTAGAAGCATGAAATTCCAGGTTCGAAGCAAGCTCTGGGTATATTTTGCGCCACTGGTAAGTAAGAAGGCATGAACTTGGACATAGTCAAATTTGAAGTTAAGTAATTTGAGGTGATAGATAATACCCTTTGATTTGAAAATACTCTAATAGTAATTTACAATACCCTGGGTATATACTTATATATCAACTCACATTTGGAATCAGGTTTGAATCTGCTAACTATTTTTTATGTGTTTTTGCTTCTCACTTAATCACCTTTTTTTTGTTCTTCAATGTTTTTCTTTTTTCCAAGATGGCACACTTCATGATGTTTTTGATTAAATTAACTAAGACCTTTCTCATTATCAGATAGTTATTTTTGTTATTTTTTTAAAGACAACTTTTTACTATTACCTTAATACTTGGATTCCTTTGGTTAAATATGTTTTATCTCTGCTAAAAATTGAGACTTAGCTGAATGACAAGTAATTTTGACAATAAAATTTACAAGCAAGAATTTTAGTTTAGAAGAGATGTCTAGAATTATTAGAAGAACCAACCAAAAAATTGACAACAGTATTCCATACAGGGTCAAATAAGAGATTTATAGAAATAGAGAATGGAATCAGGAGTAAGAAAGTGGCCAGCAGGATAAAGAGTCTTCATTTCCGTTATGAGATACCACAAGGTTCTACCCTTGGTTCTGTATTATTTTTTATCTGCATTAATGATCTTCATGACAAATTTAAAATGGCTCTATTTGCTGACAACTTAACTTTATACTCCTGTCTTAACGAAAAGTTTTCTCTTTTTGATTTTGAAGAACAGGCAGTTAATCTTGAATCTTATCTCCTTCTGTAACAGCTTGCAATGGCTTGTGAATTCAAACTCTGGCAAAACTCAGCTATTTACTACAAACAACTATCGCAATTGTAAACATTCTTGTATTAAAGAATGGCAACTTTTTCTGAATGAATGGCACGCTCTTACTGAGTACTTAACAATTTTTCAGATTATCATTTCTACTGATTAGTAAGTTACCAGGGCCCCGGCTCAAAAGATGACTCTTTACCAACCCAACCCCAGCAAAATTATAAGATTTAGGAGGCATTGATAGCCAGGGCTAAAAAAAATTTATAACACTTTAAATATTAAAAATTTATCGATAACTACTATTTAATAAATACTGGCATATATATATGTATATATATATATATATATATATATATATATATATACTTTCTTAATAATTCCATCGGAGAGTGTTGGCTTCCTATCAAGACAAGAATAAATGGTAGTATCATCAGCGAACAATGCCACCTTAGATGAAACAATATATGGAAGATCGTTAATGTAAATTAAAAAAAGTATAGGACCACCAATAGAACCTTGAGGAACCCCTGAAGTTACAGAATATGAAAAAGAGTAGTCTATTGAGGACAACTTTTATACTACAATTGGAAAAAAAGGATTCAATAATTTTAAAGATGTTACCTGATACACTGTAAGAAGACAGCTTATGGAGAAGTTTTGAAAGCATAGATGATAACTCCAGTGAACACTTCTGCAAGACTATAACAGGTATGTTGTCCGGACCACAAGCTTAGCAGGAAATCACTTCAGATACAAAAGCTGGCGTGATACGAATGTCAAGCAATTGATCAAACTGAGAGCAATATCAGGTAGAACGCAACTAGTGGAATCAAGAGATGACACTGAAGTTAAAAGTCATATCAAATAACATCACTAAAGATACACTGATATCACGAAGTTAAAAGACATCAAATAACCTCAATAAAGATACACTGATATCATAAAGTTAAAAAACATTTATATTTTAAATAATTTAAAATATAAAAGAAACTTGTATTTAGAGGTGAGACAGATCCAAGATCCAGAACTAAACATCCAGGTACCCATATCATTTTTTCTGAAATCCGGATCCGGATCTATTTAGTTCGGATATTAGGTACCTGTTGTTTTTTTTTACATAAAATTACTTTTAATAATATTAATGTTGGGTACCGTAATAGTCTACTTATAGTTTTAAACTGTTACACTTTGAAGTGTTATAGTATTTTAAAGCAATTTAGAAAAATAATTTTAAAATAACTTTTCAAGAATGCTCCTGTTTAGGAGCATTTCTTTAAGTGCAAAGTTAACAAAACTGCTCAATGCAACTCTTACTCAACGTTACTCTGTAACGTCATTGTATGAATTAAATGAGCCTGTACAAGTCTTATGCAAAAGCATCCAAAGATTAAGCATAAAATAGAATTTTACATTCTGCAAAAACAGTTCAATGTTATAAATCTATATCTCAAAAAAATATCATAAATTTTGTACAATTTTTTATCTTGGACTTGTATGTGTCGCTGGAAGTATGCCATTTGAAAAAGCTGTTGAGATAGTAAGTAAAAAATTGAGTGAATTAAAACCGAAATTTAATATTGTTAGTAACACTACAGATAGTGCATCTATTATAGTTAAATTTGGCTATTGAATCAACCCACTACATCTTATCTGCTATGCCCACACAATCCATTTAGTATCAGGGGATGTACTTTATGTGAAACCAACTGAAATTTTAGACCAAAACAATAGTTTTGAAATTATTGTGATAGTGAGGTGAATAGCTGTACTATATTGAATTTGAAAATAGTTTAGTAGAGGCTGTTGTTATAAATGATTATTTTTCAATTTTAAAAAAAGTTTGCACAATAATAAATTAGTTTAAAAAAATCACCTGTTGACAATATATGAAAAATAAATGACAATATATTGCAGAAGCATGTAAAACCAGAATTTGGACACAAATTTAAACCTATTTTAGACTGCAAGACACGTTGAAACTTATCCAAGTTCAGTCTCCAAAAACAATATCAGATTCAGAGTTAAGACTTATTACCCTGTAAGAGTTAGACTTAATAGTCTGTAAAAGATTCAAAGTGTTTGCCGACAAGACAGAGAAATTTAATAACAGCTAAAAAAAGTTTTTTATTTTGTTTCAAGTCAATTACAATCATATGAATCTGACAAAAAACTTATACCGAGCTTTAAAAAAAATAATTTTATGCCAAAGAAATCTTTTTAAAGTTAACTGTGGTTATATACATTTTAAAAATTAAAAAAAGTTTCTTGTATAAAATAGTTTATTTGTTTTATGATTTGAATTCGAATTTGGATCCGGATCAAATCTTGAAAATCCGGGTAGGATCCGGATCCTAAATATTTTGCCAGATCCACTATGCCCTACTTGTATTTAATAAATAAACAATAAATGGAAAAGGCTATGTTTAAAAATTTAAACATTATTTTCAAATCAAATAAAACATATTTTAAAATTATTTTAATCAGAAAAAGTATTTATAATAAAACATTTAAACTTTAAATATTTTGTTATAAATACTTTTTTCTGATTAAAATATTTTTAAAATATGTAAATAACATACTCTGAGGTGTGCAAGACTCTGACAAGAAATGCTAGAAACATAAATATTAAAAAAAAAAAACCATGGTATAAAATGGTTATCACAAAATAAAAACACTATAAAGGAATAACGAACTTGCTTGTTGCACCATTTATATTAAATTTTATCTTTGCCCTGTAAAAACATTGTCAATCAATATATAACTTTCATTGATAATGTGTAATTATTTGAGACTCAAAGTCTATCCATCTTCACCTTTTTATATTTAGGAAATTTATTTATTGAAATTTATTTATTGATTTTGATTGATATATCATAAAAATCATTTTTTACAATTATTTTTTTATTATTTTTATTATAAATTATAAACAAAGTCAAAAATATAAGTGTTCAAAATATAACGATGCATATAAATAAGCTTTAAAAGATTTAAGCACTATCAGACCCTCTCATCGTAAGCCATCAATTTAGGGGAAAATTGACCCAAAAATAATCATTTTTAGGACTTTGAGTAATGAGCAATTTTATTTAAATATTACTACTATCTCTTTAACTCTTAGGCTGTGAGAATCTTTTTTTTTTTTTTTTTTTTTTGCTGATTTCTTTTGTTTCATTTTTAACAGAAAAATTTTTTCTTTTAGTTATTTTTAAAATTAGTTAAAAAAAATAATCAATAAAAATTAATTGAGGTTGTGGTAAAAAAAATTAAAAGCTTTGAATTTTTTACTTCATCTTAACCAATTTTTTACTTCCTCAAAACCAATAACTTTTTTCTTCTTCATGATCTTAAACAAATTGTAAAACTTATACCTTTCTTTACAATTTTTTTTTAACTTTTCTGATCATATTTTTAGGTAGAAATAAAAGCACAAAAACTTTTATCTTTTTATCTAAATTATACTGCATTCCTTTTTTCCAAAACAATAATGTTTGATATTGTTTGCAGATCAACAATATTGGTTGTATATTAGGTGCTGAAAAATTTCCAAACTTTTTGGAGGCTATAGGTTTACACAGCCTTTAATAAATTCTTTAGTGACTAATGATTTCCTGATATATACATTGTTAATAAGCTCTACCTGATATTGCTGATTTTTCTTTTTTCATATAAGAAAAAGTTCCTCTTTCATTGCCATAAGTTGCGTTTCACCTTTCAATAAGAAATTCCAACATTTCTAGTATTAATCTAAAACTATTTAAAGATCAAAAAATACAAATAATATTAATATGGAAAAATATTTCTAAAAAATACCAATGTTTGCAATTTCAAAAATTACAATCAAAAATAATAATAATAAAATGTATATTTCATTAAAAAATATAGACATATTCTATTTGTTTGTTCTACAGTATGTCATATAGATATATGGTAAAACAAATATTGACCCTACGTTAAGATTCACTAAAACAATTATTTTAGGGTAATTCCTATTAGGACAGAGTCATTTTATGTGGTACTACTACTAGGAAGATTATTATTCAATGCTCTGACAAATAAACAAGAACTTCTTTAAAGTTTTCTTATATAAGTTGCCTTCACTACAGCTAGGGACCCTACTCTATTTACTGTATTATATCTACATATTCAATATATACATTATATATACAAAACTAATCACTTATATAACTTAAATTTGGATTTTCTGTTTATTTTCTATATTTATATGCAATCAGTTTATTTTGCAAAAACTACAAAAAAATGTTTTAAATACAAAAAGCAGAAAATAATCATTGAAATGTAAAAAAATGCAATAAATATTTAAAATGCAATTTATTTAGTATTAATTGCAAAATATATTAACATTGTAATAAACATTCATAAAAGAATT